AGAAGGGAGTTCCTCCTAGTGTCCTGGCCAACAATCTCCTAAAAATAAAAATTTGGTCATTCACTTCATTGCTGTTTGTGGGATATTGCTATGCACAAGTTGTCTGCCACATTTGCCCACAAAACACAATCACTGCACTGAAGAAATTTGGGTCATCCTCCTCACGTGAAAGGTGTAAATACATGGATTAATATTATCTATTATAATATCAACCATATTAAAGCATCGCGCTATTCTTAAGGCCAGTGTCCTGCTAAATTCCAGCTGTTAATCACTCTCTCTGTAAAGCAACATTTTTTCTCGATCTTAATCTTCACTTGCCTAACATGTGCGTTCTTGTCCTGCTGACTCAGTGTATGGTTCGAAAGCATAGTTGTAGTTTTATTTTCGCTATCAGCAATTAGCATTTTACATATCTCTAGAAAGTGCTTTTGCAAGACTGAAGAGCCCTAGCTATTCAGTTATTATTTATTCCATTTGATGCTGGAGATAAACCCCGATGATCAAAGCATGGGTCATTTGAAGATCTATATTCCTAATCTTTAGATTTAGTACTCCATGTTCCTAGATAAGATAGCGATGATAAACCCAGAACAATACTTTCAGCTGTGTCAAGACAGCAGGACAAGAGGGCACAGGCTCAGGTTTGTGAAAAGTTATCTTAGGACAAACACCAGGAAGTATTTATTTCCACGGGGGAATCAACACCTGGAATTGTTTACTAGGAAGAGTGGTTGAGGCCAGGACACTGGATTCATTTAAGAAATAACTGGATTCATTTAAGAAACACCACTCTGACCTGCTGACTCCCTACCAACCTGCCCGCTCCCTCCGCTCCTCAGGCTCCGGCCTGCTCCCTGTCTCCCGCCCGACCCGCCCTACCATCAGTAACCAGGCTTTCAGCCTCTCTGCCCCCACACTCTGGAACTCCATCTCACGGTCCCTTCACCTCACTTCCTCCCTTGCATCGTTCAAGGCCGATCTCAAGACCCTTCTCTTTGATCGTGCCTTTGGTCTCCATCCCACTTCTCTGCCTTCCCTCACCCCTGCACCACCCCTCCCCAATGCTCGGGCCCCGACATCTGACTATTTAGCGCTTTGGGACGTTCTCCCGACATGAAAGACGCTCTATAAATGTAATTTTGTTGTTGTTGATGCTGTAATGAAAAGACAGCAGGGCTGGATTACTGAAAGGATGACATCAATTCGGCCAAAGAGCCTTCATTTATTCTTCCAAACTGCTTGTGTTGAGTAGTTCTATTTACTGTGTTTTTGTATTGTAATATCTATCTCGTGGTCTCATTGATAATTAAAACAGATATTTACTGTATCACAAAAGATTGCTTCAGAAAGGAAACAGAACTGCATTTATAAATTTTCCCATCATTTGGACATCGTGTGAGAAACGAAAGGTTAAAAGTCACACAGTTCCCCAGCACAGCTGGAGTCACAAGATGGTCTGTAAATCCAGCTTCTAGACAATTGCACCTCACATCTGGAGGATAAGAACAAATATAGAAGTGTGGGAAGTTATCTTGTCAGAACAACAGGGATCACTTACAAGAATATTGTCACTTCCCACTCCCACCCCTCCAAGAGCCCAAGAGTATTGGGGCATATTGATAGAAACTTTTGAAATTGGCATTTGATGCATTTGTCGTAATTGGGTGTATTCTGCACATAAAGCACATTTTAAACAGTCTAACACACACACGCACACACACACACACACAGTACTTTTAAGGCAAGCAAATACCTTCAATTTACTTCACAATGTGCTGACAGAAATTAATTACCTCAAAGCCAGTTTAACAGCTATGATTAGGGTCACACCAGGTCATGTGCAATCCCATAGTCAAAGCCATTAAAACTGCAGTGCCACGGATTGCTGGATTACATTGTCCTCTCGATAGAGTGCATAGAGGAGAAAATGTAATAAATGTAGTCAATTTTCAAGATTCTCCTACAATAATGAAGATTTTATAGTTATAAAATGTTTTGAAACAGATTATTTTGTTCACTTAAATGAAAATAGAACTCTCCTGGCTCAGCAGAAAATATTAGGGTCCTGTGTGAAATTGTTCTACAGGATTAGGTGGTGTCAGAGTAGATTTCTGCTTTGTACAGAGTATGTTGGGGGCAAGAATGGGGGCAATAAGAAACATTTCTCTAGGATGGGGGGAGAGGAAATAGCCCCAGTTCCCAATCTTAATTACTTGTCTATTGGACCATGCTGGAAAGTGCACGTGACGATGGGCAAGATTTGGGTTGGATACAATGTCCCCCCCACCCCACTACTAAAATAATTTGCCAACATTCACCACCTGGATCACGTTGGTGAGATATTGTTTGGAGGGACATCTTTTGATGAGCAAGGAAAGTATCAATCCTACCCTTCTCCACCCCCACACAGCCAAAAAAATATATATACAGAGAAATACTTTTGCTAACTCAGGAAACTAATAGCTTTTAATAAGTGCAAAAAGCAACACGCGCATGCCTGGAGGATAACTGCACAGATTGCAGTCCGACAGTGAACAAAATAAGACTTTTAACATCAAAAGTCAGGGCAGTTGTTTCGTCCACAAAATATACAATTAATTCACGGGACAGTATATTCCGGGAAGCACTTTGAGACGTCTCAATGACGTGATAAGGCACTATGTCAAATGCAAGGATTATTAAAGAGAAATACAGCTGGTATTTGCATCATGCACTGTGCTCTGACATAATTCTGTTATCTCAGAATTGCAGGAAAAGGTTGAAGCCACTGATGGCTTAGCCCCAAAGCTCGTTATTTATGTAAGTACAACTCTGGGATTCATTTCAAATGGTTCTTGAAGGCAGCATTCTTCAAGGAGTACAACTCTGTATTTTATTGTGAGCAAACAGCCAAGAAGTTAAAAATATATTTTTAATCAGAAAACACTGCAAGCCAATGTCGTTTTGCTCCCTTCCTCTCTCGAAAGCACTGAATAATGGTACAGCTTGAGCCATAGGAACGCACTGTCCTCCACTAACTCGCCAAAGTGGCCATCTTTAATGTCTGAGTGTGTGGGATACAGGAGGGGGGAGTGGGGGGGAAAAGAAACAAAGTAGAGTCTGATCCCCTCTTCAGCATGCACAGTGTTATTCTCATCTGGCCAGATTCACAATCTTTACTGTAGAAAATGTGCTGCTTGAATATGACACGCAGTATATAGGATGAGAACAACAGGCTAAGCAGGCATGGGATCACCTTAAAACCATTCAAAGCATAGAAACTAAGAAACTACTGTTTCTCTGAAATGTAGCTGTGCAAAATATGCTTTCTGTACAAAATCCATTCAGTGTTTGGTAAGTACCGATAGGCAACACGTTTTATAAACGTATTATACGCATACGTTTTATATGTATTAGAAGCTATGTACATTAGCCCTGCAAATGACTGATATGGCCCCATCAGGAAACAAGCCAAGAGTATATAAGTCACCAATGCCAGAAATGCACAATATATTTGAACTCTTAAAAATGCAACAGGAGATAAATGGAAGTGAATTACTGTGGATTAGCATTCACCTACAGGGATTGCTGATCAGTATTAGCAGCAGACAACACGTTAGTAGCCAGAATTAAGTAAATTAAAAATATCAGGTGGCTTTAGTTTACAATGCACACTACTGGCAGGAAGCTATGTTTCTTCCACACCATGGATCTTCATTTGTTTTTCACATTATACACAGTTATGCCAAAAATGACCAAAGGCTTTCCGTGGATAGCATCTGGGGATTGTGCCTCGTATTTGAACTGGTTGAGTGAAATGTGACCCTTACAAATTATATTGCTCAGTAGCAAACCTGCCCATTGGCACCAGTCATCTCTGGCAGCTTTCAATAAACATTAGAATTTAGGATTACAAGACCTAATCTCAGTTGAGGTGGCGGGGTGGGAATCTAAAGCAATTGGTCTTCAAAACCTGGGAGAAGGGAAAGAAAGAAGTCAGTGCAGGACCTAGTGGTGATTGGGTAATCCCCCGCTAGAGAATGTGTGTGGCTTTTTGGATAATGTGTGGCCAGGGTACTCCTGTGGTGAAACAATCTGGTAATGCCTGAGTTCATACTCCCAGTGCATTCTAGTGCTTGTGGAACTGATCCCAATGAAATTCAGTGGCTTCAGAGAACAGAGTAGTACTTCCATGAAAAAATTGAATGTACCTAAATATGAGTCTCTATGTCCGGTGGGGGGGGGGGGAAGAAAAGAAAAGGGGGAAAGAAAGGCACCTTCACTATGAAAAAAAGGTTACATAGATTAAAAACAACTGATCCAATACTTTCAACTGTAGTGGTCCTGTTTCAGAAACAAGCATTTCACCTTCAGCACCTTTTGGTCTGGATATTTAAACGTGGATTAAAATGTACCCTTTATTCCTACTTGAAATTCAGGGGGAAAAATTTACAGGGTTAAAAATCATAACCTTACGGAAGGTTAGTAGGTTTACATTTAGAATACTGCGCACCCATGTCTGTCTTCGATTCTATTCCATCCAACGCTAGTTATAGACTATATTGAGATCAAGTCTTTCTTAAAAAAAGAACGGTGACAATCCTTATTAAAACTTCACCTTTCAAGGACAAACTTTACCTCCCAGGGACAAGGCATTACTGTCACGGGAGCCAGGTAGATTTTAGCTCATGTCAGTAGGGCTGTAAGTTATTATTTCTAAAACAGCAATAAACCACTAAGTGAGAACATCAATAAGATCATTGTGACATTATAAAAAAAATGCACTGGATGAATTACAGCGCTTAATTAAATTTACGGTAACATAAAATGAGTCCTTGAAGAAGAAAAAAAGTTTACAGCACAATCTGAAACCTGTTCCACTTATTGCATTTAATGTTTCCTTTTAAAAGTGCAACTTAAAACATCACATGCAGCCACACAGGTGTTGATAGATTATCTTTATGTGAAATCCGCAAAGCAGGTCAATATGTTGCAAGAATGGAAACGCAAGACATTACCTCCTCGCACAAATCCATTGGTGGTTATAGCAGATGTCGAGAGTCCTGTGATTGTGGTCACTACGGTTGCCATGCTAATGACGAGAATAGCAAGACCTGTTTATAGAAAAATAAATTGCGTTAGCAGTGGACGATGGAATCTAAACTGCTGACTGATTGAGAAGCTGAAAACAAAACACATTATCAGTCTTTGTATGTTAACTAAAGTTTGGAAATACAATATCATTTAAAAACACACACACACAGCACAGTCTGGAAAAAGATTGATGAACATGCAGTGCCACATCATCCTGAACAAGTCCTTGGAGCAACATTCACAACAGACTATATTGAAATAATGAATGTATTTCAAAATTAGCTCTGAAGTTAGTAGCATCATACTCGGTGTCAATGCGATTCTGCATATTAGGTCATGCACCGAGCAAATTGCTCTAAAAATCAGTAAGTGAAATGATTTGGTCTTCGAGGTAAGAAATTCTCAAATAATAGAGCACAGCTACACCACACTAGTTCCTCTAGGTCAGGGTGGTCCAACTGGCGTCCCCCTCCCTCCATTTAATCTGGCCCACCCACTCCCTCCATAACCTGTAAATGTTATGCTACATTTCTGGAAGTGAAACACAATAATATTGCTTATGCGGCTGCAGACGTTTCTCAAATAGGGCATCCGGCCCTCAGCAGCCAAAAGGTAGGCCAAGGTAAAGGCATGGGTGAAGATGTCCCTGTGCATTCAGAACTCATCCATTGGTCACATGTGGTCAGAGATCAGAAACACCTGCTTGGTGCCATTTTAAGTATAAAATAAATAAAAAATCAAGAGAATACTAATCCTCGCATTTGATATAGCACCATATCACTTTGAGATGTCTCTTCGCTAATTAATATATCACAGAAATAGGAGTAAGCTATTCAGCCCCTCGAGCCTGGTTCACCGTTTTATAAGAGTATGGCTGATCTATACCTCAAAATCCAGTTACCCGCCCTTACACCATATCCCTTAATACCCTGACCTTGCATCATATCCCATAATACCCTGACCTTGCACTATATCTCTTATTGCCCTGAGCTTGCACCATATCCCTTAATCCCTGACCTTGCATCATATCCCTTAACCCTGACCTTGCATCATATCCCTTAATACCCTGACCTTGCATCATATCCCTTAATATCTGACCTTGCACCATATCCCTTCACCCTGACTTTGCACCGTATCCCTTAATACTCTGACCTTGCACCATATCCCTTAATACCCTGACCTTGCACTATATCTCTTATTGCCCTGAGCTGGCACCATAACCCTTAATCCCTGACCTTGCATCATATCCCTTAATCCCTGACCTTGCATCATATCCCTTAACCCTGACCTTGCATCATAGCCCTTAATACCTGACCTTGCACCATATCCCTTAACCCTGACCTTGCATCATATCCCTTAATACCCTGACCTTGCATCATATCCCTTAATATCTGACCTTGCACCATATCCCTTAACCCTGACTTTGCACCGTATCCCTTAATACCCTGACCTTGCACCATATCCCTTAATAACTATCCTTGCATCATATCCCTTAACCCTGACCTTGCACCGTATCCCTTAATACTCTGACCTTGTACCATATCCCTCAATACCTTGACCTTGCATCATATCCCTTAACCCTGACCTTGCACCATATCCCTTAATACCCTGACCTTGCACCGTATCCCTTAATACCCTGACCTTGCATCATAGCCCTTAATACCCTGACCTTGCATCATATCCCTTAATACCCTGACCTTGCACCGTATCCCTTAATACTCTGACCTTGTACCATATCCCTCAATACCTTGACCTTGCATCATATCCCTTAACCCTGACCTTGCACCATATCCCTTAATACCCTGACCTTGCACCGTATCCCTTAATACCCTGACCTTGTACCATATCCCTTAATACCCTGACCTTGCACCATATCCCTTAATAACTATCCTTGCATCATATCCTTTAACCCTGACCTTGCACCATATCCCTTAATACTCTGACCTTGTACCATATCCCTCAATACTTTGACCTTGCATCATATCCCTTAACCCTGACCTTGCACCATATCCCTTAATACTCTGACCTTGTACCATATCCCTCAATACCCTGACTTTGCACCATATCCCTTAATAACTATCCTTGCATCATATCCTTTAACCCTGACCTTGCACCGTATCCCTTAATACTCTGACGTTGTACCATATCCTTTAATCCCTTAGAACAGGCTTTTGCACCATATCCTTCAATGCTCGGAATCAGGCTCCGCCACCGTTAAGCGCGCTGAGATGCTACCCTGCGTGGAGGGCGCTATATAAGTGCAAGTTGTTGTTGTTGACCTAACAAATATCTATCTTCGTCTTGAAAATGTGAATGGATCCAGCATCCACAACCTTTTGTGGGAGAGAGTTTAGCTTTTCACTCCCCATTGGGTAAAAAACTGTTTCCTGATTTTACTCCTAAATGGCCTAGCTCTAATTTTAAGATTATGCCCCCTTGTTCTGGATTCCCCACCAGAGGAAATAAGTTTCTTTGTAGCTACCCTATCAAATAATAATAATAAATAATAATAACCCTTTATTATTTTAAAAACCTCAATCAGATCACCTCTCAACCATCTAAACTCAAGGGAATAGAGACCAAGTTTATGCAACCTGGCCTCATAATTTAACCCTTTAAGCCCTGGTATCATTATGGTGAATCTGCACCGCACCCCCTCCACAGCCAATATATTCTTCCTGGCAAAACTGAACGCAGTGCTCCAGATGAGATCTGACCAAGGCTCTGGATAGTTGAAGCATCGTTTTCTCTTCTTTGTATTCCAGCCCTCTTGAAATAAAGGCCAATATCCCATTAGCCTTTCTGATAACTTTTTGCACCTGTGAGCTTGTTTTAGTGATTTGTGTATGTGGACACCCAAATCCCTTTGCTCCTCTTTAGTTCTTAGTTTCTCCCCTGTTAGAAAATATTGTTTTACTATTTTTTGGATCCATAGTGGATGACCTCACATTTCTCCGCATTGAATTCCAGTGTATCAAAGGTGCACTGATAAATGAAAGAATATAGTTACGTCTAAGAACTTATGTAAACATCCTTACATTTAGGCTAAACGTGTGAATAGGCTAAATGTGTGAGTTGCCTTACAACTATAAACTGAAACTGGACATACCCAATTGATACTTAATAATTCAAACGCTTTAGAAGATTTCCTCTCTTCTCTTAAAGAAGTACATGTTTTCCCCAGCTCATAAATGGAGCAATGAAATGACAGGAGATAGTTTGCATTGGTAAAGAGCAATACAATAATGCAATATCAGTAGTTGTAAACATCCATTGTCTATCACATGGAGGTTGCCAAACAGACGGTTAAAACACCAAAGAAAAATTAATGGAAATCCGGAGGCAAAACACTGCAAATGTGGACAAAGATTACGATAAAATTGAATACAAATAGCACAAAAAATGAACAAAACCGACAAGGTTACCATTGAATGGCTCCACAAAACCACACCCTTCTAAGAATGGTCTTTGATCTAAATGTACGAGTCCTTCCTGTACAACAGTCAATTCCCCAGGGCTTTGACATATTTACTCAACATAGATCAGAACTAAAGCCGTATGAATTTATATAGAGTACTCTCTCCTCTTACTCCCATTGTACTGAAGACCTTTTCATGCCTCTAATTCAATGGTGGCCAACCGTTTTGGTTGGCCAACAAAAACAAATACAGGCATTAAAATAGGATTTCATTAAACTAGGACCAAAATTTTGTAATCCTGATGATTCAAGCAACTACATATTAAAATGTATTAAACAGCATTGCAAGTAAGCTTTCATTTTCAGTCAAAATTACAACTACTCTGTTAAATATAGTATCTCATTAGGACAAGAGAGGCCAAATTAAGAATTTTCCATCATTAAAAAAATTAGACGTTTTAAGACTATAAAAATGTCAGGCCTCGGACTGACAGTTTTTAGAATTAGGCTGAAATTGAAAGTAACATCAGGACAACCAATTACAAAGATCATGCTTTAATAGTCAATGCTGGTGGTGAAATTACTGATAAAGTAATTCAAGACTGCAAGAAGAAAAAAAATCGCCAACATTTCATCAAACAAATCACCAACATTCCTGCCATCCCTCATTTTTACACAATCAATTTGGATACAGCTTTATAGATATTTACAACTTTATAAATGAAATCAAGCAATTCTTGCAAATTGTTGTTGATGTGTTTCACTCAAATTACAAACATCAAAGCTTTAACTGAAGTCTGCTCTAAATAAACACTGTTGGACGGAAGCGTGTAATAATTTGGTGCCATGAGCCAGTGTCCACAAAGGGCTTGAGTGAGGCTGCCAAAACTCACTTATAACATCTAACTGTAAGTTTGAGACAAGGACTTTAACATGATGATACAATGGACAGAATGAAACCATTGTTGGAGTATCTCCAAAAAAAAGGCAAAAAAAAAGCTTCAATCTTAATTCTCCACAGAGGAATGAAGGTTCATAAATATGTCCTTTAAAAGTGATTTGTTTCACATTTATACTGTTCACTTCAAGCATCAATACTACTTCATATTTTCTCTGTCGTTTCATAAAAAGTCAAGCCTTGTCCAATGCTTCTTTACTACCTGAGAGGACAAGTAGATGGCCTGCTTCTAGATCTCTGCCTAAGCTGCTTATTCAGTTTATTTCCCTTTCTATTCATGTTTTGGGCCATCAGTTGCATCCTTTTTCTCACAGATATCATCATTTCTTTCTCTGTGGAACTGTTTTGCCTCACTGTTACGACCCTCATCTTCCTTCCTCCATTTATTTCTGCCCGCCTCTCCTCACCACCAATATCCAAATATGATCAGGAACTACAGCACGTGGAGAAATCCTGAAAATACACCCTACAGCTTCAACACATGTACAATCCCATAAACAGGAACACCTAAATATGCAGTCATATTATCCCCACTGTCACAAGATCGGTTCAGATGAAGAAGACCCTTCAGCCCATTTGATCTCATCTTCCAGAGTATCCACCCTCCCATTACTTCTTCGAGTTTTTTTTAATAAAAAAAGGTCCTGGCCTCCACTTCCCTTTCAGGTAACTTATTCCAGCCAATAATTACTCGCTGGGTAAATAAATACTTCCTGGTGTTTGTCTTGAAATTCCCCTTTGCATCTCTAAACCAGTGTCCTCTTGTCCTGCTGTCTTGGTGCATGCGGCACAGGTCACATATGCTTACAAAGGAAATGCCAGTACCCTTGACAATAAATTAACTGTGAAACATGGAGACAATCACAGGCCTAAACATTAAAGACTATTTATTTGGTTCAGAATGGTGCACAAGTAATTCAGAACAACCGTCACTAGATAAACCTAGGACATTAGAATACACAGTGTGGAACCTCCCAACCTCTTCTTTTACAGTCATTAGCAAGCAGGGGCACTTCCCATTTCTCAAATAGCACATTTCAAAAGCACCTCAGGCTTAACACAAAGCAAAGTCTCTTTAACTGGAAAGCAGAATCACCCAGATCACTGGCACCAGGAGGCAGTATTAACCTGGGTAAGAGACTGAACGTAATAGCTTAATGAAGTTTTCCAACCCTACAGATTCCAGATATAAAGAATACTTGAATCAAACATAGAATTCCAATGTACTGTACAACAATATTGTATTGGAATACCTTGTCCAACATTTTCCAAGTTTAATGTTTTGTGCACACGTACGTGTGTGTGCATGCGTGCGAGTGCATGAGCATGGGAAGAGAGAAAGAGAAATAAAATACTGAAAGCTAACCAAATGCTGTCAATTTTTTCGTTGCTAAATGGAACCTGAATTTCCTTTCTTCTTCCGCAATGGGACAAACATTTTCTCCTGACAAATTAAAGATCTAACAAACTAGAGCATTGCTTTGAGAGTGTATACACTACCTTTTCTATTGTGCTTGATGACAGTTTTATTCAGGGGAAAGAGGTTTGTAGAGCCACAACATAAAATGCTCCAGGGAATATTAAACCAAAGGAGTTTGGGAATGCGTTAAGAACTGCTGGATGCAAGGGAATGACTCACTTAGACAAATGTTTGAATTTCATGCTCATCGGGGGAGGGAAAGGATTTTTTTCCTATTTTAGAAACCAAACACAACAGGTGCCACTTCCAGGTCACGTCAAATGGTTACATTAAAGCTTAAAATTACTGTGCTCCCAACTTTAGGAAAGGTAGACCCTATTGCACCACCGTGACATGTTCCAAATTTCACACCACCAATCATGTGGCCGCTCTGAATGAGCTAGTCAATTCAGTGATGAATTAACGGCAACTTTGTGAGTGAACCCATAGTTGAACCTGGATAGAAACTTGTGTGTGAAATCCATTGGCGACCAAATGCCAGACCTCTGCTATGTGTGAACTGCATTTCACAAAGAGGGTTGAAGATTTTGGTTTCTCTCTTAATCAGAAATTACCATGTCATGTATCAGGCTACTTTGGCTTTGACAATTTTCAGGTTATTATTCTCAGCATTGAGATGGACTTCTAACAGAATTACAAGTTACGAGACAACATACATAGCCTTCCAAAAAATGTTATTTGCAGGCAGCACTAAACTCAGTGCTATTGTCAGAGAGTGCCAGTGCAGTGCTCAAATCATTATAATCTGAAAACAAACATGGAAAGTAGCCAATGGTCACAATTTGTAGAATGTTATATGCCTTGCACATACCTCAATAAGGTATTTTATAAGATTACTGGAATACCAAAGTGCATGAGCTTATCCTTAAGGCAATAGTCTTAAAATTTAAGATAGGTTTGGAAAATTCTCAACTTCAGTCCCAACGTAGATGCCAGTTTCCCACATCCTGTAGCTCAGTGGTTAGAGCACTCGCTTTGCAAGTGAGAGACCTGAGTTCAATTCCAGGCAGAGGGCGAAACCTTGGGCAAGTTTCCTTACTCCACACGCCTAATAATAATCCCTCCAAAAAACCCAAAACAATAATAAATTGGTCATTTTCAATCCATGACTGTTTGTGGGACACTGCTGTGCGCAATTGGCTGCCGCGTTCGCCCACAAATATACAGTCAATTCACTTTACAGTATGATCTGTGAAGCGCTTTGGGACGTCCTCCCGACGTGAAGAGTGCTATATCAAATGCAAGGATTAGTATTATTATTATTTCAGACAAATGGTTTTCAATAAAAAAATTATAAACTTTCCAAAATTTGTGAGCGTCTTAAATGTAAGACTATGATGTTGATGCTAACATCAGAATTATTTCAGACCACACAGTCCTTCCTGCACTATACAGTATAGGTATCTTCCTACAGTGTCGTGAATAAGTTACAAAAATCGCAGTGATGTGCAAAATGTGCTCCATTCTGTCACCTTTCATCTAATGAAGATCAGGAGACAAAAAAAAACAACCATATGCCACATTCAACTAGTTACTGCAAACAGTTGAGCCATTTAACAAGTGAATTAGGATTCTGTATAGAAGTCACGTTGGAGTGCTAGTTACTATCAGAAGGAAGTGCAAAGATATTCCACATACCGATCCCAGCTTGGCCAACAATCCATGACAAGCGGATGAAGAGCATCACACCCCAGATATTGAGCATGCATCGTACCTAGGAGGTGGGAACACAAAACAAAACAAGGAGAAAACAATTGAGAAGCAAACAATAAATATCCCTGATGACCACCAACTGCCCCAGTTCAATGGATGTGCAGGGAGCACTCCTGCCACAACGGGGGCTGGACTGTTCGTGTATTGATTGTAATCTTGCACATTTTGTGTTGTCATGTCTTCGGGTGTATTGTTAGTAAACGTGTGCCTACATGATCGGCAAGAGCACCCAAGCAGGCTGTACACGGTGCATGCACACATATGCAGTGAACACAGGGGTGTTCCCGACTGTATTTAAAGCAAACGTCCTGAAAATGTCTGTGCATCCTGTGTTTTGTTCTGATCAACTTTGGCTCAGAAGAATATTAGATTGAATTGAAGAAAAGCATAATCAGCGTATCTACCAAGTTAAATAAGGGATTTGTTTATTTCACAATGAGTCTTCTTACATTATCTTGGTAAGCATTTATTCTTTTTGCCTAATATTTAGACAAGTCCTTTAGACAGTAAAAGGCAAACGATACATGAAATCATTCTCAATGAGTCTCCCTCAATGTAGGGAGACTGGGAACTTCTGAATATTGATCATCCCAAGTACTTAATCAAGGTGTTTTAATCTAATAATTGGAATGTCCTCCCGACGTGAAAGGCACTATACAAATGTAATCTTGTTGCTGTTGTAATGCAAAATTAATTTAGTACCAGTGCACCTGTACACTTTTAACTAAACTTGACTACATTACTTTCACCCAACATTATGCTTGTGTTTCCTTATGAACTTTGCATTTCATCCTTTTACTTAAAGAAAGCAAATCTCTTTGCTGAACCGTGGCTATTTCACTTGGAACGATCTTTAGGACAAACACATGTTTCAATAAACTCTCTCAATCATTAACAAATACAGTTAAATCAAACAGTTCTTAAAAGTCTTCACCTCCTTGTATAAATTGCTTGCTTTTTTGACAAATCCTATGAGTATCATGGGATGCAAGACGTAAAATTTACCAGAGTGCATAAAAACTCGATTGGAATACTTTCTCCTCTTGATTACTGCAATAGCTCTAGCTGATACAGGAATATAAAAGCAGTGAAAAGAGGAATTTTAACCACAAAGCAATCAATGACCTATTTTGTGAACATGCTCATCTCAAAGTCATGGAACTAATTTTTCACATTACCTCCAGGACTTGAACCTACTCACTGTATTGGATCCCATCCTTCTAAAATACTAGCCTGACCACATTTCCATAACAGCATCTAGGCATTTCTTAAATGCATGCAATGCTCTTAACGTCAATCACTCTTCCTGGTAACCTATTCCATAAGAGAAAAAGAACGCATTGAGGCATCCTGTTAAACATTTTGACCTTGCTCCCCTGAAATTACCCTCTACTTCCTTCCCTTCAGACAATTTTGAAAACATATTTTGCCCTTGATACCCAGTGACATCAGTTTGTGATGGAATTTTTCATGTGGTATTTTGTCAAATGCTTATTGGATGTTTAGGCATAGTGTGTCATGTAGCTTTCCACAGTCAATTTGGACTATTGAAAAACATCAAGGCTGGTCGGACAAGATCTAACCCTTCCGAATTCATGTTGTCTGTTATTTGTTTGATGATTTTTATACAGGCGATCTTCCATGAAATACTTCACTATTTGCAACTTGCCATCATTAACAACCAGCAAAAATCATAATTTCAACCCTTGAACTAATCTATCAGTCCCAAAAGGCTCCTTAAGAGAATCATCTCAAAACCCTTGCATCCCCAACAGCTTGTATCAGCTTCCTCACATTCTCAAGAGCCTCCTCTCTCCTCTACGACCACACCATGGCCCCACTCCTGCTCTCCCTGAGCTCCACCTTCCCTTACCCCAAACCCCCCTGCTCAGGTGCAAATCCCTGACTGTCCAGCACCTTGAGACATCCTCCCCACATGGAAGGCTCTATACAAATGCCCCCTCCTTCCTCCGACCTGCTGACTCCCTACCAACCTGCCCGCTCCCTCCGTTCAGCGGGCTCCAGCCTGCTCCATGTCTCCTGCCCGACCCACCCTACGATCGGTGGCCGGGCTTTCAGTCTCTCTGTCCCCACACTCTGAAACTCCATCTCACGATCCCTTCGCCTCGCTTCCTCCCTTGCCTCCTTCAAGGCCGGTCTCAAGACCCTTCTCTTCGACTGTGCCTTTGGTCTCCTTCCCACCTCTCTGCCTTCCCTCACCCCTACACCACCCCTCCCCCATGCTCGAGCCCCGATATCTGACTGTTCGGCGCTTTGAGACGTTCTCCTGTTGTGAAAGGCGCTCTATAAATGTAATTTTGTTGTTGTTGTTATTGTACTCAGGGAACCTATTGCATCTTCACTGAATGTAAGGTTATGACTGTCTTCACTTCATAAGAGAAGTGTGCTGCCATTTTCCTTTCACTGTCATTCCACAATGTAGTCTGTGTCACAACTGGGTGATATGAGCTACCAGTGTAAAAGTGCAAAAAAGGTTAGATGACCCATCCCTCACCAGAATGGAATACCTTCAAGAACAACCTTCACCACTCAACCGTGTGCTGTCTTTACCCATGCAGCCAACCACAGCACACATCAAATTCACAGTGATCTTCATTCTCATAGGGCGGAGGCTTGTAGAAATATTGCTGTACATAAGCCGTGCAGCAAACTGAGTTCCCTTTTACACTCTGGGGCTGATTAGACACGCTCCCGGCAGCAGACTGATTGAGAGCTGAAACCTAGCTTATCTGTACCACATCACTCCCGCTGAGGAGAGCTCTGCACTTTTGATAGGTCAGGGTGTCAAGGGACATAGGGAGAAAGCAGGAAATTGGAATTGAAAGGATTAGTTAAGGTACAGATCAGCCATGATCTAATTAAATGGCGGAACAAGCTCAAAGGACTGAACAGCCTCCTCCTGTTCCTATGGACCTGCACAACTAGAACCTCTACTAACCCAGGGCCAAAACCACTATCAAATAAACTTGAAGTGATCAACTACAATAAAACTAAAGTTATATTGCAGCCAATGGCATCAATTCCACTCCAGAAATACCCTCTTTCACAATGAGGCTAAGAACTCAAACAATGCTTCTGAAGCCCCATTTGTATTGTCATTATAAAAATTGTTCTTTTAAGAACTGAGCAGTTTAAATAGAGCATTTGTTTGGTCCCAAATTTACAAATTATTCAAAAAATAGTTAAAGCTGTTCAAAAGTACTAATTATATGTTGTTCCAGAACAGCTAGCTTAACAGGTATGTACAGAAGTGTTGTGAGCAATGATTTATTAATCTGTTTTTATTTAGTGAAGGCAGACACTGGTTACTGCTACTTACCAGGACACCTTTCACCCAGCCAAACTTTACAGCTCCTTTGCCATCAGCAACATGTTTTGACACAGCCTCTTCAGTTGGACTGCCATCTTCCCCATTTACGTAGCCATCTTCAAACGGTTCCTGATAAACAAAGAAAAAATAATTCCACTCTTTCAACAGCATAATAATAATTCTTTTGATAAAGAAGTCCTGTAGCTCAATGGTTAGAGCACTCGCCTCACAAGCGAGAGACCTGGGTTCGAGTCCCAGCAGGGCGAAATGTTGGGCAAGTTTCTTTACTCCTCTGTTTACCTAGCAGTGAGTGGGAACCCGGTTGTTAGTCAATTGGCGGCCTGTGACCTGTGCTCCCGCGCACATACTCAGATGCATTGCAGAGGCCTCTAATCTATTGGTGGGCTGCACTGTGGCCTCACGTCCCATCCTGTCACAGGGCAGGAACAGCACTGGCTTCCAATAGACCAGAGACCTCTGCGATAAATCTGAGCATGTACACCCACCCTCAACTAAGCACCCGCACCAGTGACAGGTCAGGGCCTCGGGGAATGCAAGACGTCATCTTATAGGAGGAGCTATCTGATTCATTTTACATTGTAATTATAAGGATTTCTAGAATATGACTAGTTACGTGTTAAGCAAATCGAGTTTAATGTCTCATCCAAATGTCCATCACCTCCAACAATAAGCTCCACGCAACAAAATGAAGAATGTGGAGAAAAAAAAAACTCCTACAAAAGATGCATCAATGTGACATTTTGGGCTTAAAAACGACCAACACTCATTAGGATGAGTAAGAGATGGTCAAAAGTTCATAGAATTCTAGACATTTACAGCAATAGGAGACCACCATTCAACTCATTGAGTCTGCTCAGAGATACTTGCTCTCAAAGCAAGCTGTCCATTCAATCCTATTGCCTCACCCTACTTCCTTATCCCTTCAGTCTTTATCTTTTATATATCTGCTATGTCCCTCTTAAAACCCACAATGGACGCTGCTACTACCAACTTGCTTGGGAAGACCTTACAGTCCCACCATTTCTGTATGAAAAATAACCTTAAATCTCCTTTTGCTCTTCTTGCAACTATTTTACATCTATGTTCTCTACTTATTCACTCCCTTACCAGTGGAAATAGCTTCTCCCCATTTACTCTTGTCAAAGCTCGTCATAATTTTGTACACCTCTATCAGATCCCCTCTCAATGTTGTCAGCACCAAAGAAAGCAGACCCAACTTTTCCAGTCTTTCATAACTAGAGCCTTTCATTGTATGGTAAGTTTGTGTTTACTCATCCACGTCACAGTTACCACAATAACTTGAGTTCCAGGGATGGGACAAGTCATCCCATGTTTCTCAAACATTTCTGGGAACCAGTTATAATTGCATGGAAGCCACAAGAACATGGATTAGATATTTTAATCTCATTGGCAGACAAGAAGCTCCAGTTTCCACAGAGAGGGGAAAATTGCATGCCCAAACTGGAAATCTGTAACTCACCATACAAATTAGGGGCACAGGAATCTAGGCAGATATGATTTTGTAATAGTCATCCTTGCTTTTGATACATAACTATATCAAATTGTTGAGACATCTCAAAGCACTTCACAGGATTTACTGTAATGGTATGAATTTGGTTAAACAAGGCAGCCAATTTGCACCCAACAATGTCCCATAAATGGCCAGACTTTTAAAATGAAGGCACAAACCCTCTCTCCAAGGAGATACTACAAAGAATATTTTTGTAAAAAAAACTTCTCTTCTTGAAGAGTGATAAGGAAGGAAGCCGTCCATGCATTCAGATTGCCAAGCATTGTAAACGGGATTAATATGCTCCAATGGTCATGCATCTAAATTGGACTGTTTATGTTATTTTAATTAATTGTATGTATTTATACAGAGAAAGAGAGAGAGGGAGAGAGAAAGAAAGTCAAGCTCTGCTGCCTCTCTATTGCCAGATTTAATCATCAGTTTACACACCCAAGTGAACACAGATAAGACCCGGGCAAATGCAATGTAGGCATCACTTACACACCACTGGGAAAAAATTAACAGTGTGCAAACAAAGGGGGTTTGGTATACCTCCTTCTACAAGGTAACTACATCCACCATTTCTTCCGCAATAAATCTACACAAATCATGGATGGGAGCATTTGCAACTTTTTGGTCTTTAACATTGTGGCCACAGACATGCAAAAATATGCAACTGTACACAATAAAGATTCAGCTCAGGGTGCTACAGAGAATGTTTTTCCTATGAAAGTCCTAGGTAAACCGTTATTGCTTTGCAAACACATGAAATGGAATACAAAACATAGCAACTATGGGCACAAAGTTTGGTAAACGAACAGTCTCTTTTTTTAAAAAAAAACTTTTGAATATTTTTGTGCAAACCCCTCTGCATCTCCTTAAAATTTAGAAACAAATAGTTTGCTTCCTCTGCCCATGAGTTAGCGGCCAATACAAAACCTCATTAACCTCAACGTCTCATTTCACATTAACCCCAGTCAGTTGAGGACAGTCTGGTTACAGAAGATTGAGGGTTCATGTTGTTTGACAGCTACTGAATGGCCATGGGCAAAGGCAACTCAATGGTTTATAGCCTAAAAACATTACACATCCCCAAACATCCTGTACGGCCAAGTTTTTAAATTTAATAGGGGCAGGGAGAAGAAATTAGCACAACGAATGTTGATCAGGAGATGTTGTAACTATTCATACAGAACTTGCATGAAATCGATTTATTTCAATCTTTAAGGATTAGTCTCTTTCATCCATTATAAGGAAATCTGCATGACTGTACCTAGTCACTTCTCCAGTCAGGAACCTAGGCGTCTTGTTCGACCCTCAACTTTCCTTTCTCCCCCACACCTGTGCCCAACTCCGCCACTGACTCACCCCTCTGGTCGCCAAAATCCTCATACTTGCCTTCATTACAACTAGGCTCCACTATGCCTTATCGGCCTTCCCAACTCTTCCCTCCACAAGCTGCAGATTATCTAAAGAACTCTGCAGCTCGTGTCCTCTCCTGCCTCAGGCTCCGTGATCCCGTCACACCCACCCTCGCCCGGCTCCACTGGCTGCCCATCTCTCAGAAGATCGAGTTCAAAATCCTCACCCTTACCCTCAAGGCCCACCATGGCCTTGACCCCTCCTACCTCTCCGATTTGCTAATTCCTTATCAACCTGTCTGCTCCCTCCGCTCAGCAGGCTCCAGCCTGCTCAATGTCCCCCACCCGGCCCGCCCCACCATCGGCGTTCAGGCCTTCAGCCTCTCTGCCCCCACCTTCTGAAACTCCATCCCACATTCCCTTCATCTCGTTCCTTCCCTTGCCTCCTTCAAGACAGGCCTCAAAAACCCTCCTCCTCGACCATGCCTTCAGCCACCCTCCTACCCTCTCCGCCCTCCACCCTTCCCTGATCCCAACACCCCTCTCGCTCGGGTCCTAATCCCTGACTGTTCAGCGCCTTGGGATGACCTCCTGATGTGAAAGGCACTATACAATTGTCATTTTGTATTGTATCTAAACATATAATCTAAGTTATTGGGTCAACTGTCTAAATAAGTAAATAAACAGTCAATTCACTTTGCAGTATATTCTGTGAAGCGCTTTGAGACGTCTCAAAGACGTGAAAAGCGCTATATCAAATGCAAGGATTATTATTATTATTAATATTTTCCATCCAAAGTATCAAAACACTTCTGACATAATACACTGTAGTACAGCAAACATTCTTCTCTTAAGCACTCATTAATTCGCAAACCCGGTTTGGTCAACCAACTCCAAAGCACCGCAATTCTGATTTGCCTCTGTACTTCTGTACCTTGGATCCACATCAAGCCATTTATTGCTCTGAAGAAGCATTCTATGAAGCAGTTGTAGATTTCTCTTTGATCCTCCAACTAGATAAGTAGCTCTGAGTGAACTCACTAAGTTGTATGAAGGCAAAACTATGCAAGCTACAATGCAGCACCATCTAAAATTCCTGTAATCAAACAGTCTTTTGTTCCAAGTGTCATTTTAGCAAACGTCTCACATAATTCAATTTCCGTTTAAAGTGAACTAAACGTTCCTAAAGAGTTCAAAGTTAAAACTAAATTTAGTGACTATTAAGCTCCCATATAAAATGATGAGGTTATGGTCCAAATGCAGGAAGCAAGGTTCATCTCCGACACCCTGTGGTCACTCCACAGAGTCAACCAAAGGAAACCAGCCAAGGTGAAAACAGATGAATTAAAGCTGCTATAATGATTGGTGTCAACGAATTTATCTTGAATATGCAACAAGGTCATCTTTGTCAATTGTGACTAACCTCCTGCACTACATTCTCCTTCTTTTGCAGCCAAACTATAAATCTGCTTTGTGTATACTATAGTATTACAGTTCTTCAGGTATAATATTCCAGGGTTCATCCAAGTCAGATACCTTAACTCTGCACAAGTTTACTCTAGGTACTTTAATAGAACGTATCCATCCTAGATGAAAATACCATACCATAACCTCCATACCAGGATTGCACGTTTTCGCATCTTTTCAGTGGCAAAGATTTGGACACCTTATTAACTTTGACCGCTTGAACAAAGATTCATATCTGGCGAGTCTTAATAGATTTGATCAAGATAAAGGCTCTTTACTGCTGGGTCTACATTCTGGAACTCCATTCGTAAAGCTGCAGTGGTCACAAACAAGAGCAACATCCAACAGCTTTCTGATGTTAATCAAAATGCAAAGCATAATTATTCTGCAATCTTCTAAGTCTCAATTACAGTATACAGATTGTAGTACTTTCTAGGCCAAAAGGATTAAAGGGAGGAAAAAGTACAAATATTATAAATTACAGCTAGTGGGCCTAATGACCTCCTTCTTTGCTGTAAAAAAAATCTAGTTGGCTTTCATAATCTAACCAATAATTTTAAAGGTTTAAAGTGCCACTGTACAAATTAAACTAATTATTAATGCATTGGCAAAGATACAATTGGCCTCTAAATGAACAGGTGATCGAGCTATTTGTTTCACCATCAGTTCTAACTATACCTACTGAACACACTGGAAAATTTGTTAAGAGGCATGGTCACTCTTCAGCACGAAACACAGCAGAAACTCTAAAATCTAGTGCTTAGAAAATA